GGGGGGGGGGGGGGGGGGGGGGGGGGGGGGGGGAAGGGTTGGACGTCGTGCGGATGCAGGGACGTAGCGAGCTATCGAAGGACGGCCTGTATTTATGTTTGTCTCTGAGAGGGCAAAGGGAGCACATTCAGAGAGACAACATGCCATCTCGCTCCAGAGGTGGCGTCCGGTGCCCCACGGAGACTCCAGAGATTGCAGATCGGCTACGGCACGCAAGGGCTCAAAGAAGGGCTCAGGGGTCGCTCAAATCACTTGCCGAGTTCTCGTTAGAAGTGCGAGGTTCGATTGGACGAAGAACGGGTGGGCACTCGTCTGTGGCGAGGTCTGCATGGTCTCGGACAGACACGTCAAGCGAGGGGGAACGCAAAGACGCACCAGCAACGCAACGAGTCGCAGGACCTCAGCCATATCGAGGCTCGTTCACAGCCATCACAGGCGACATCGAATCTCTGAAGGTCACTACGCACTCTGTCGAGCATCGGACGCACGACCGAAGACCATTCGAATGGACAACAATGGGCAAAGAAGCGCAAAAAGAAGCCAATCAGCTGTCAAGGAAGGCATGGAGCAGCGGACCTTTTTCGATTTGAATCCTCGTTTTGATACTCCGCACACAAGTTTAAGCGAGCCGCAGGAGGGGGCGACGGAAGGAAGATTGCCGCGCTCGCCGTGTGTGCGATCGCCGGTCGAGCTGTTGAGCGACCGTCGCGTAGCGAGCAGCATGTCAATCGCGTTGCGCAAAAGACTGCCTCGCTTGCTAGCATCTAAGCGAGCATGGCGTTCAAGGCGAAAACGCCGAATCCTTGCTTTTGTTGTCCCACCCTTTGATGTGCTTCTGTGGTATTCTCTCCGGTCGACCTCGTGACCTTCTGTTCATGCAGACATGGGATTCCTGTTCCGTCGAGATTGCCGGCCTCCTCCCCCCCGCTCGTTGTCACAGACTATCCACCGCATTGGCCGCGGCATGTCACTCTCGTGATTGCGATCAGATGTTCCGCCGGGAAAATGATTTGCTGCCGACATTCGACGGTAGCCACAGCGACAAAGCCGAAGTACTTCCTCGCAGCAGCCTCACGAGCGCCTGTGTTTCTGAAGCTGTGCTCAACAATAGTCACGGCGAGGGAGAGAAGTTGGGTAGGCCCCCTCAGGAACACGAGCCATCCACTCTTCGTCCTCAAGCGGGACGTTGTTTCCCACGCCTCACGTTTATGGTCCATCATCACTCAAAGACGACAGCATCCTTGTCATCGTCTGCATCGTCTGACATTCATGGTTCGGCAGATTCATCTTGTGGATGTTGTGATTCCGTTGAATTGCGTCTGACTGTCGCCGGTGAGCTGCACGAGGGCTCACGTCTCGACCTCCCAAAAGAGCCTCTTCCCCTCCTTCCCTTGGAGCTCCTTAACGACGTCCCCCAGGCGTACCATCTGTGTCTCTCGCAACACCTTCTCCAGTCCCTCTTTATCCCGCTTCACCACCGTGCCCTCTACCACACACCTGTACGCGGCCAGCTGATCGATCCGGCCCTTGGCACTCCTCCTCCCCTTGCCCTGGGCATAGCCCGGCTGCTTCAGCTCGACACTTTCCACGACCAGACTGACGCCATCGTGCGAGTTGCCCCAGGACCTAGACTTGATGCCGCCGCGCTGACAGCCCTTGTAGGCGATGAGCTTGGGTGCGATGCGTAGGATCACGCTGAGATCGCACGGCCTGCCCGCCTTTCCTGGCTCCTGCTTCGCTGTGGGCGTGGGAGGGGTGAGACCGGTCCACGCCCTGGCCGCGCGTCCGGGCGGCACCCATGCCGGAATGCCTTCCGACTCGAGACTTGGCCCTTCCACCCAGCCCGCATGGACGCACATGGCCAACACGTCCGAGTCGTCCGTGTACACGTCTGTGCCCCACAGCTTGCGCCGCAGCAACGGATTGAGTCGCCAGAAACGCCATGGTGAGCCTGCGCCACTCTCCCCCTCCGGCTGTTTCTCCGACGACTCCTCAGATGGTGGGTTCGAAGCGGGTGCAGAGCCGAACAGCTGTCCTTCGGCGACCCGCTCCTCAATACGCATCTCCAGACTCATCCTGGCGTGCTCCTTGCCCCTCCAACCGAGTTTCCATCCGTTACCTGCGCCGTTGAGCGCAAGGGTGCCACGTGGGCCATCCAATCGGTCCTTGAGCGGATCGCCCACCTCGCACCGCGCCAGGCAGTCGCGTTCGAGATTGTGATAAGCGTCCCATCGCGGGCCTTCGCCGGCTGAACTGAGCAGTGTTCCCGGGATGCGGACTTCCAACGTGGAGCCGACGTTGCGTGCGAGGAGCTCGGCAGGGAAGAGGGGGTCGACGGTGGGGTCGTATGCGAAGGAGCCGAGGTGTCGGACGGGACGGCCTTTGTCCATTCCGATCAGGTGGCGTGGTAGCGGGTCGAGGGGCGTTGGGACGATCGGGGTGTCCGTAGTGGGTGCCGATGGCGCTTCTGCTGGTGATTCGACAGCAGGTTGTGCAGTCTTTTCGCCCTCCTGCTCAGCGTCACCAGCAGCGACGGGATCCTTCGACTCCTCCGCGTCGAGCGGCAACCGTTCTGCCCTCCTCACCGATTCATCCCGCTCACACAGCTCCAAGTACAACCACACGGGCTCGCTGTCTACCCTCGGGCCCGCGTTCGGATCCCTCACCACGTGCGGCTGCTGCTCCTGCGCAGCAAACAGTCCCGCAGGCAACGGCACCCCCGGCGGCCACCCGATCGCCTGCGCGGCCGCATGAAAATCAGCCAACATCGGCGGTCTCCCCTGTACCGCCGCCGCCTGCTGCGCGGTCGCGATCAACGCCTCCTCCATGCTTGGCATCGCTGTGGCGGCGGCGAACTCCCTCTCACGCTCCAGAGCGGCCTGCTTTTCAGCTTGCTTCTCGCGTCGTCGCTCGCGTCGTTCGCGTTCCTTCTCCTCGCGTTCGCGCGCCTCGCGCTCCAGCTCGAGCTCGCGTTGTCGTGCCTGCTCTTCGAGGAGGAGTCGTTCTCGTTCGCGCTCGAGCTCGAGTTCGCGTTCGCGGGCTTCGCGTTGGGCTGCACGAAGACGCTCCCTTTCGTGCTCGGCCTCGAGTTCTCGTTCGCGCGCAAGGGCAAGGTCACGCTCCCTCTCGTACGGTGGGATGGACGGTGGACGGTGCGGGAAGGGGGCACCGCGTTCGGCTGTGGGTGACAGAGGCGCGCGGCGGGAGGGCTCGAGTTTGCCACTGCCCATGGGGGGTGGTGGGCCGGTGCGCGGGTGGTCAAAGTGTGGAGGACGGTCGTAGCCGGGACGGGAGGGTGCAGGGACGGAGGACTCGCGCGAGGGCTGCGAGGGAGGTGGTTTGGGTTTGTCCTTGCGTCGATCGCCGTCTCGGCTCTGTGTTGGGCTGGTGGGTGGGTAAGGAAGAGGTGGAGGGGGTCCACGCTCGTCGTAGGGTCGACCGCTGGCAGATTTGGCGGAAGGAGGACCGAGAGAAGGTGGACCCCGAGGACCGTACCGGTCGTAGGGGTCGTCCATGACCATAGGCTCGTGCATGCGACGACCGTATCGATCGCCGCCCATCATGTCGCGTTCTCGAGTGCGCTCGCGTTCGCGCTGCATGAGCTCTCGTTCGGACATGGGTCCGTCGTAAGGACCGTAGGAGAGAGGAGCGCGCATGCGCTCGGGTGAGCGACCGGCAGGTGGAAGCATGCCACTAGAGTGACCTGGGGGAATGGAGCCGGCTCTTGGGTCGTCGTAGGGCCCACCGAGGTAGGGTGCGTGGCGAGGCGAGCTCTCTGGACCCATGGCTGCGAGCGCAACGTCTGCGCTGGGTTCGCGACCTCGACCACCGCCGACGGGACCTGCGCGGCCTCCAGGAATAGGGCTTCGGCGAGGCGGCAGCGAGGAAGCATACGGTTCGCGAGGGCTGCGAGATGGCTCTCCTGGCATTCCAGGTGCTGGACCACCGACAGCGTACCTCATATCGCCACTGGGCACTCGAACGTGTTGCGAAGGCGGCATGTCAGGACCACCTGCAGGTCGTTGCGACGCTCTCCATCGCATCTCGCGTTCGCGTTCGAACTCGTATTCTCTCTCGCGCTCCCATTCGCGTTCTCGGTGGTAAGCAGCAGAAGCGCCATCCGGCTCAGAGCCGCTCCACTTGCGTCGAGGTGGACCGGACTGCGAAGACGGGCTGGTGGGGCCGAAGGGTGGGATGGGCGAGCGGCGGTCGTTGGGATGCGGTGGTGGCGGCGGCGGGGCAGTGCGAGAGGAAGGCCCACCAGGATAGGCGCCGGCCGAGCTGCGTACTCGATCGCGCTCACGTTCTCGTTCCCATTGCTCGCGTTCTCGTTCTCTTTCCCATTCCCATTCGCGTTCACGATCGGAGCGGCCTCGATTGTCGCGTTCGCGGTCGTACATCATATGCTGTCGAGGATCGGACGCGTCGGCCGCACCGGGAGGACCGAGGAGCGAGTTCATGTTCATCACATCGGATCGACCCGCGGGAGCAGGACCGGGACCCGGTTGGCGCCAGCGATCTCGTGACGGGTCATCCATGGCAGAGGAGGTGCGCGAGGGTGGTCGAAGAGGCTGGAGAGGATGACCGGCGCTGCCAGCACTGCCGGCCGATGGCGAGACGGGATAGTTGCGTGAGGATGCGGGGTTGTAGGAAGATCCGCCGGGCGGTGATCGTTGTTGTTGTTGCTGTTGATGCTGACTGTGATGAGGCGGTGGTGGCATCTTTGCTGACTCTCCTCTCCGTGTAAGTACGGTGAAGTCACGAAGATAGATGGAGAGGGAGAAGAAGAAGAAACGGAAAGCTTTGGTTGGTGGTGGATGCGCGATTTGGATTTGCTTTGCTGCAATTTGACCGAATCGACGCCAACGGAGCCGGTCAGCGCACGCCCCCGTTTCATCTTCTTCTCGTCGGTTGGTGCAGCATGAGAGCAGTCTGCCACTTTACTCCGCTTCTGGACGGATGGCGTGGGATGAAATTTAAGCGAAATAAAAATTGATTGGCTGATCTTGGTCCGCCGCTGCAGAAAGCCACTGCCGCGTGACAAGGCAACAGCAAACGACTTCATAAAGAAGCGTGGATGTGATTTCAGGGTTCGCCTTCGCTCATTTGAAAGAGCCGACGCGCCGCTGTTTGGTGGTGTGCTCAGACCATCACCGTCGTCCATTTTGCTCCACTTCGGTCCCACCGACGACAAGATATCGGCGGAATCGCACATCATCCGATCGTCTTTCGCGAACGGCCCGACGAGCAGCAGTGGCGTGAGAGGTATCACTCAGCATAATTCTCACCATGGCAGCAACAGCAACAGCGTCAGCATCGACATCGGCCATCGGATCCTCCTATCCAAGCACCTCCTCATCGAGCAGCACCGCCCCGAAGACCTTCCGCTATCCACCCATCCACGCCTTTCCACCGTTCTACACTCTCCAGCACAACCCTGTGTCACGCGCACAGCAGCTCTCGCAATGGCGCGCTCTCATTCTCGACTACTGCCGCTCTCATCGCATCTTTTCGCTCTCACCGCTGCCCTCTGCGTCTGACGCATCTGGGTCAAGTCCGCACAAGACGCTCTTTGCGAACGCATCGATACAGCGTTCCCTCTCGCCAGAATCGATACGAGCCGTGCTGGCCGATCTGGTCGAACACAAGGGCGCCGCGTGGGAAGACCAGCTTACGACGGCAAAGAAGAGCGCCGCTGCAGGGCAAGGGAACAACGCAAAGGCGTTTATATACTGGAAGACGCCAGCACAGTGGGGAGATGCAATCTACGAATGGGTCATGGCCACCGGTCAGAACAAGAGCATCATGACGCTGTTCGAGCTGAATCAGGGAGAGCTGGTCGAGAGTCAAGGTATGTTGTTCCACGATCCCACGATGGAGCCTATCGTAGGTCAGCTGTACTGATGTAAACCCGTTCTGCTTGGTCCTGATGAACGACAGATTTCTACGAACTACCCATGCCCATCCTCAAGCTGGCATTGAAACACCTCAGCTCGCAGGGCAAGGCGCAGATCTTTGCCGGCAGTGAAGCGGAGGATGGCGAGGGTGTCAAGTTTGTCTGAGACGCAGAATGATCGAAATATACCCAGATAAATCATCTCCAATGGCACGCTTGTGCAACACACCATCTCCTTTGTGCGCAGACCTTCCTCAGAGTATGACCGCGAGGGACACAGCGACCTATAAGACCATCGTGAACCAGTCAGATTGAAGTTGCACACATGCTAGTGAGGATCAAACTTCCGACTGCATTTCCTCCTTTCCTATCGTCTACCCGCTGTAGTAACGGTCGCCATAGTCTCCCAGCCCGGGAATAATATAGCTCTTCTCGTCCAGCCTCTCGTCCACCCACGCACTGATGACCTTGACCTGGGGGAACTTGCTGTACATGTTGGCCAACCCTTCTGGGCTGGCGATCAAGTTCAAAAACAGAATCTGTTCCGCCTTGACGCCGTTTTCGATCAACACCTCGATGGCCTTGATTGCGCTGCCTCCCGTTGCCAGCATGGGATCGAGCAGCAGCACCCATCTCTCTGCAATGTCCTCGGGCAATTTGGCGTAGAACAGCTTGGGTTTGGCCGTCTCCTCGTCGCGTTGGATGAGGATCTTCCCAATCCTCACGCTGCGACAGCATTCTCGCAGTCCAGCCTCCATCGCCTCGCCTGCACGCAGGATCGACACACCACAGATCCGACCCTGGAACGAAACGCCAGAGTACGAAAAGCCCGTCGGCGTCATCACCGTCTGCGGAACCGTGGGGAGGTGGTTCAACCCTTCCTCGACCAGAAGCCGGATGATGCGGTCCGAGTAGAAGATGAAGTCGGATCGTGGAGTAGAGGCGTCTCGGATGATGGTGAGGAGCGCGTCTAGTTGAGCGGTTTGCGGGAGGCGAGATGCATTGGGGGGGAGGGTGGGTCCGGTTTGGGCCGCAACGGCGCCGTTGGCGGAGGATGTGGATGCCATGACTGTGTCGTTTCCGGTGGTAATTGTATGCGGTGGTGGCAGCGAGATACCAAATGGAATTCCCGTGGTGCGCGTTGAGGTGTTCCAAGCTGAACGCAACGGTGTCGAGGGATCCAAGGGGGAGCAACAGATGGCGAAGAGGTGGAAGGACAAGGCTTCAAGATGCTCACACTTTTGTACGAACCCTGCAACCAGCGGCCTCCTCCGTTTCAAAAAAGAAACTCAAAGCTTGCACAGAGCGGCGAGGCTGCCATGTGATGCTCTTTTTGGGCCCTTTTTTCCCGGGAATCCGTGCGCGTTGCAGAGAAACGGCCACTCGGATCCTCGGAAACGCACGTCAACAGCATTAGAGATAAGATGCCAGCCCTCGTCCCCACCCGCACGCATTCAACCCGGACAGTACGCATGTAAAAGCTCATCTCTTGGACACGCTACTGAATGTGTGGACACACGACTGAGTGCGCTGAGTCTTATCATGCGACGCGATGGATGCTATTGCGATGGGCCTTGCAGTGGCGTCACACGAGAAAGTCCAAACATCCTCGACTGCACCCTCGCCAAAGAATGGGAAGCAAGTCCTTGTTCTCAAAGGCACTCATGGCACCCATCATGCTGGGCTGCGCCGCCTCACCACCCACTGCAGCTCCCGGCCCTGGAACGGCATCCAGCTCGACCTGAGTTTCACCCAGCTTGGCCACCCGGATACCACCGATGTGCGAGATCCACTCGATCCTTGTCTCGCCTGGAGTGCTGAACACGGGCGCCTGGCGATGCTCCTGCTCCGTCAGAGGCCAGTCCCGCTCCAGCGAGTCTTCCGCCTCGGGCGCGAACGACGTGCTGCGATTGAGCCCCGATGCCGACAAGGCAGAAGAGGTGGAGAAGCCACGGACAAAGTTGGTGCTCGCAGGTCGAGCCATACCACGGTCGTTTCCAAAGGCGGATCGCGAAGCCGACCATGCTCGGCCCAGACCGGCTGATGTGAAGCTGCGTTGTGAGTTGGGCGCAAAGCGGACCTGTTGGCCTGCGAATGTGCCGATCTGAGATTCGGGCCGCGACGGTACGGACGATGTAGACACGGAGCCGAAGCCTGCGACTGTCCCCACGGAAGACGACACCGACGACACGGGCGATGCAGGCGTCGCACCGCTGTCCGAGCTGGCAGCAGTGGAGGGGACTCGCTCCATGTCGCTGGATGCAGCCTCGGCCTTGCCAGCGCCAAGCGTGGTGCCCAGGCTAGAAACACTGCTGGTCGATCCAAACCCACGCTTGCCTCGGTGCAGAGCAATGTCTCCGGTGCGCTTGACACCCGTCTGCGATTCGCGCAGCCTCTCTTCGCAGTGCTTGGGGTTGGGGCAGCGCGAGAACCACGGATTGGTGCATGCATCGTCGCCACGGTCCAGCGATCCTGCCACGTCGACTCCGCCAAAGACGTCGTACGACTCTTCTCCTTCGTCTTGCGATGCGCTGGATTGCCTTGTCTGCGTTTGCGAAGCGCTTCCATCGTTGACGGCGTCAGCGGTAGCAGCGGGGAAGGCATCTACAACCGACTGCGTGCGCGCGAGACCGTGCCTCCTGGCAGCTGCATTCGAAGTGCTTCGCATTCGAGCTCTTGTGCCCCAGTCCTGCGTGGCACTGCGTCGAGCCGCCTCGAGCTTCGACACCAGCTCGTGACCCAATTCGCCCACCAAGCTCTGCAGCGTGCCGTTCTCGTACGCCTCCAGCAGCGTGGGCACCCTCTTGCCAAACTTGCTGTTCTCAGGTCCTCCATTGGAGCTGAAGCTTTTGGTGCGCGACTGATTCGAGCCAAACGAGGTCGTGCGGTTCCTGAGCTGCGCTTCAAAGAGCGGAGTGTTGGTGCGCGAGTTGCTTCTGCTGCTGTTGCTGCTTCGTCGATGTTTAGGCCCACCCGAAGTCTGGACGACGGGCGAGAGGAAGGGCGATGCAATGCCCTGCGCTTCGGCTTCAGCGACGTCGTAGGGACCGAGAAGCTTGCGGATGCATAGCTCTTGCAGGCTCGGTAGGCCCGAAACCTCCTTGCTGCCCAGCACACGCGAACGACCTGCCACCTTGCCTCGTGTGGTGGCACCTTGCTCGGTCGAAGGCGTGAGGTCAAAGACGTCGTCGTCCTCAAAGGCTGCTTCGAGGATGCGCTGGCGTTCTCGCTCTTCGTCGTCATCAGAGGCTTCCGCTGCCCCACTTGATGCTGAAGGCAGCTGCAAAGCGGTGTCGTCTGCGTCCATGGTGGAGTCGGCTGCGTCTGTGCTGGTGTCGATGATGCTGTCGTCTTGCGCGTCTGCGTCTTGCTCGTGGATCGAGGCAAAGCTGCTGCCACCGAGTCGATCGATGCCTCTGGCGAGGAAGCTTTCGACCTGCATGTCGGATCGCGTGCGGTCCAACTGCCGCAGCTGACGAGCTGAGCCGGTGGCAGGTGCACGAATCAGAGGAGGTGGCTGCTGTGAAACGGGGACGGAAACGATTTCCCCTCCGTCGTTGCCGAAATCAGTGCGAACCGGCGTGGTCGAAGCATCATCAGCAGCCTCGTCGATGTCGTCCAGCTCTGCAAGCTGGTTGAGCGATGGTTGCTGACGAATGCGTCGTGCGCCGTGGCATAGCATGGCGCGAACCGTCAGAACGCCAGTTTGAGGTGGCTTGACGAGGTAGGGGTTGGGGAACCAGGTGAAGACATCCAGCTTGAGACGGAGGATCTCGGCTGGTAGGTACTGGAGCTCGTTGTTAGGAACGTGGAGCTCAGAGAGGTTGTGCAGATCGCCGATGGCGGGCGGAAGGACTTTGAGCTTGTTGGACCGCAGCGAGAGGACGCGCAGGTTCTGAAGCTGAAAGAGTGCGCTTGGAAGCCGAGTGAGCGCATTGGAGGCGAGGAAGATACTGAGGGTGGCCTGACGGTCGCGGTGATCGCGATACGAGCCAGCAGATTTGGAGCTGAGACCGCTCATGGCACTGCTGCTTCGGGCAAAGGAATGAGCTCGGCCCATGGTGGGCATGAATGCCGACTGACTGCGCGACAAGGTCCGCTGCGCTGTCGTGCCGGTCCGATGGGAAGAGACCGCGTCGTTGTGGATGTGGGCGCTGAAGGGAGCGAGGTACGATTCGTGGCGAACGAGACCACCGGTCTTGGATTGCAGCAAGGTTTGCGGTTCAGCAGAGGAGCGAGCCTCGGGTGCATCGTCTGGATCGTATCGAGGAGGAGCGAGAGCTACAAAGCGGGAGAGGTCGGCAATGGTGGGGAGGATGTCGGTGATGTCTTTGCTGCTGAGATCGATGGTGCCTTGTTTTGCGGCTTTGGGCTGAAGCATGACTTCGTCTACGACTTTGTACCAGTACTTTGCGATTCGACCCCATCGATAGGCTTCTTGACGTTGGAGTTGTTCGTGCTGGTTGAGGGGCGCCTCGGTGGTGACTACGCTGTCGCTGGACGTCGCCGGGGATGAATCCGAGGACGAAGGGATGGGAGAGGGGGCAGTGGCAGAGAGCGCGGGCTGAGGCGCTAGAAGAGACGAGCTTGACTGCTGCCTCGCTCTTCTTGTTGCAGCAAGAAAGGGGTCGAAGCCCGTCTCGGGATGAATCTCGTCGCTGTGGTCCGAGAGAAACCCGTCGTCGGAGGAGTCGGCATCGTCATCGTCGTTGGCAGATTGCGTTGGTCGGATATGAGAGGAAGACGAGCTAGCATTTTGAGATGGCGAGGAGAGATGGAGCTGTTTCCAGGCTTCTGACAGAACAATGGGCGAGCGCGATTGTGCTGGACTGGCGGGGGAAGCTGGACGAGCCGGAGTGGTGGGCAATGGCTGCGCTGGTTGAGGCATGGCCACGTCCATGCTGTCGCTCTAGAGATGAGCGGTGTCGCTGTGATACGGGAGAAAGGAAGAGACTCAAAGCAAGTCGACGCTTGCCTCTCAGTAGAAGGAAGGGTAGGAGAGAAAGAGAGAGAGCTTTCACCACAACCGCCTTGCACGCGTAGAGAGCTGCTGGCTGGACTCGTCCCACCCATTTCCAGGCAACCGCCCAGTTGAGTTATTTTCAAGGCAGCAGACCGCGACAGCAATTTAGCGCGTCTTTTCCAAGGTAAAAGTCAAAATCAATCTTTAATAAAGGATTTGGTTTGTGAGCGCAGAGAGCTGAGATGGTGTTGGTCTCCTTGGACGCGTCTCGCCTTGAGTCTGCGCTTCAGGGTCCAAAACACGCTTTCCATCTCAACAGCGACCAACCAACACCATCGTCAGCTCCACCATCCTCTATCCGCGGACCTCGATCACAAACATGATTCCACAAGTACCATCAAGTACAACGCCGCTCACCACCAAGGAGAGGCACTATGCTCAACTCGCCGCCAAGCTAGGCACCCTGGCCAGCTCGTTCGAAACTACCAAGCAGCATCTCAACCTCGCAGCCGAACAAGCCTTCTACATGCGCAAGCTCGGTATCGCGCAAGCATCCACGTAAGTCATATCACTTCGGACTGCACTGCTTTCTCGTGGACACGACAGAAGTGTAATTGACACCCTGCTGAGCTGCTCTGTCTGACTGCTTGCGTTCTCTGCAACCAACAGGTTCATGGCGGTGCTTCACGAGGTGGACCGAGAGCAAGACGCCGACCCGACGGAAGCATAGAGAAGTGGGTTTTGGCTCAGTCACATCGTTCTCACACGTCGGAAGCAGCCGCTCGAGCTTGACCTTCTTTCATCGGATCGAGCCGATAGATGCTCTCGGGACGGCTCTCGCCCGCGATTCTACCTGTATTTGTATCTTTACCATATCATATTCGTTTGTATACCTCACTGTCATCGTCCGACTCGCCGGCCAGAACGCTCTCGGATAGCTTCCGAGGAGTGCTTTTGAGCTCAAGTGTCAAAATGAGATTGAGTCGAGTCCGACGAGAGCAACACATCGTGCGCCCTGTCCTTGATCACATGGGCTTGGAACGGCGAAATGGGAAAAGCAATCTAAATTTCCCACACAGCTCAGACGCCAAGCTTGGACCTCTTTGTGGAGTTGCAAGGACAAAAAAGGCGGAGCTGCAGGGGCTTGAGCTGGACATGTCAACCACACGCAGCATCAACCTCGTTTGCAGCTCAGCCTGCCTGCGTGTCGACAGCGAGGGGCTTGCTTGCCAGCTTGAATGCTGCTTGAGCCTTCTCTCGTCTCGCCTTCATTCGGCTCCCCTCACCGGCTTGAGCTCGAGCCTCGAGCTGCTCAGCACCACCACCTCGCTGGCAGCGTAACCTGTCCTTCCCCACACAAGCATCTCGGCTCTTGTTATCAGCTCAGACAGCATCGAGCTTTCGCTCCGCTCCATCTCATCTTCTGGCACTCGTCTCTCGAGAGGTCGTGCAAGCAAGGGAAACAGGGATGGTGGACTCCGATCAAGCCTCACACTCACGCCGGGGCAGGAGCTCCCGAGCACAGCCCAGCATCGACGCTAGCCACAACTCGGCACTCCCCAATCCGGGCCTCTCGATCTCGACCGACACGATTCACACCAGACATGCCGACGAGCCAGACAATGATCAACAGAATTCTGCTCGACTCGACTTTCGATCAGCGCCCAGTACCGCTCGTCCACGCTTGGTCGAAAGGCGCACCATGTCCGCCAAATCCGAGATTAGGCGCCTCTCTTCGCTCTTCGTACCTCCCAACGGAGCTCAGGCAGAGATTACAGCTCCCACACCGTCGTCCTCGCGCCCTAGCTTCTTCTCAAGAGCTTTACCTGGAGCGCTGTCCAGTCGCGCTTCTCTCGCTTCTCTCAGAGAGCCACGCAGCCCCATGCGCTCCTTCTACGATGGTCTCAAGGCGCAAGGCGCTCCTGGCGCTCGCAACCGCCGCAAGAGGCACTTGCGTTCCTACGACGACGCCAACTTCGAGGATGAGATGAATCTACCCGGGGCCGGCGGCAATGGCATCCGTGTCTGGTACGAGTCCTACACCACCATTGACTGGATTCACGACGCCATCAAGGAGAGCTCCCGTCTGCGCCGCATCCGCAATCTCAAGGGTATCCGCGGATTCGCCGCCAACGTCTGGGATCGTCTTCAAGGCTGGATCATCGTCACCATCACCGGTGTCATCACAGCGCTCATCGCTGGATGCATCGTCAAGTCCGAGGCGGTCCTCTTCGATCTCAAGGACGGCTACTGCGCAAAAGACTGGAAGCTTGCCAAGCGCTTCTGCTGCCCCTACGGTGGATCGCCCGACTGGGACCATCCTTCGCTCAATGCTACCGCTTGGTCGTATCGGACGCCTTTCCTGCCTCACGCCGCCCTTTCAGCCTCGCCTTCTACTGCGGATGCTTTCGGGTCGATGGTCTCTGGTCTCGGCAAGGGCAACCGCATCCTCAGTGGCTGGGCAGCGCCCGTCGCTGGCAGTCCAGCCTGGGCCAGGATGGCCGCTTCTTCTGCTGCAGGCGCTGTCAACACGACACTGTTGAATGTGATGTCACCTGTCGATTCTGAAACCGAGGCCTGCCCTGGCTGGATCACTTGGGGTCAAAAATTCGGCTCTTTGAAGGACAGCAACTGGTTTGCCGGCTACGCCATGTACTTTGTCGTCGCCGTCCTCTGGGCATCTATCGCCAGCATCCTCACCATCTATCTCACTTCAAGCGAACTCTACCTCAAGGACGCGGATGCAGCCTTACCCACTGCCAATATGGGTAGCCAGAAACGTGACTCGGAGCAGCAGCATGATACCGGGGATGCTATGGACGAGCCCACCGAGACCACAGCCCTTCTCGCTCAGCAGCGCAACGGACAGGCATCACGATCACGATCTCCGGTCGTGGCGATGCAACATCCCGATACCGCGACGTCGAGGAACTTTGCTCGCATCGCCAACGACCAGCGCGCTCAGAACGCCATCCTGCCTAGAAAGGTGCTCTATTTCGCCACGGGCTCGGGTATCTCCGAGGTCAAGTGCATCTTGAGCGGCTTTGTCATCCACGGCTATCTTGGCTTCTGGACGCTCTTCACCAAGTCGGTCGGCCTCACTCTGTCGGTCGCTTCGGGTCTCTCGCTCGGCAAAGAAGGCCCCTTTGTGCATATTGCTTCCTGTGTCGGCAACATCGTCTGTCGTGCTTTCCCCAAATACGAGAACAACGAAGGCAAGCGTCGCGAGATGCTCTCGTGCGCCTGCGCAGCCGGTGTCGCCGTGGCTTTCGGTGCTCCCGTCGGCGGCGTGCTCTTCTCCCTCGAGGAAGTGAGCTACTACTTCCCCGGCAAAGTCATGTTTCGCTCCTTCTTCTGCGCCATGGTCGCTGCCGCCGTCCTGCGAGCCCTCGATCCGTTCGGCACGGGCAAGATCGTGCTTTTCCAGGTCACCTACGACAAGGACTGGCACTTTTACGAGCTCCTCTTCTTCATCCTGATCGGCATCTTTGGTGGACTCTACGGTGCTTACTTTACCAAGCTCAACATGTTCTGGGCCAAGAACGTCCGCGCAAAGACCTGGATGGCACGCCATCCCATCTTCGAGGTGGTCGTCATCACGGCGGTCACGGCTGCGTTCTCCTTCTTCAACGGCTACACACGCATGGGCGGTGTCGAGCTCATCGCCGATCTGTTCAGCGAGTGTCACGAGCACGAGTCGTTAGAGGGACTCTGCGTCTCGCATCCTTCGCAGATCGGACCCCTCGTGATGGCCGTCTTGAGCGCCATGGTGTTGAGGGGTGCGCTGACCATCATCACGTTCGGAATCAAGCTGCCCGCCGGTATCTTCATCCCGACTCTTGCGGTAGGAGCCTGCTTCGGTCGCATCGTCGGTCTGCTGGTGCAGTACGTACAGTGGACGGATCCCGAGATCGGCTTCTTCAGCTGGTGTCCTGCCTCGGACTCGGCCTGCATTGTGCCCGGTGTTTATGCTATGGTGGGAGCGGCAGCCGCGCTTTCGGGTGTCACTCGCACCACCGTCTCGCTTGCTGTGATCATGTTCGAGCTTACGGGCACGTTGACGTATGCAGTGCCCGTGATGCTGGCTATCTTGGTGGCCAAGACCATCGCAGACGCCCTCGAGCACAAGGGCATCTACGATCTTGTGATCGACTTTTCGGGGCTGCCCTACCTCGACAGCAAGGCCGAGTACATCTGGAATGGCGTTGACGTGACGGATGCGATGGAGACCGAGGTCGAGGTGATCTCTTTGGATGTCGACAACACGGTTCAGTCGCTGGGCGAGAAGCTGGATCGCCTGGCCAGTGGATCTGGATACACCGACGGCGGCTTCCCCATCGTTTCCCGCAGCACGCCCATCGCCTCTTCCGCCGTGCCACCTACGCCGGCAGACCTGTCGGCGAGCATCGGATCGATGACGGATCACATCCCGCCCACGTCCGGCCACGAACCCTCGAGCGCAGCACCGTCCGCTCACCTCATGGTCGGCTACATAGCAGCGAGCGAGCTAGAGCATGCCCTTGGCCGAGCGGCCCGCTCGAACCCGGAGACAAAGCCCGAATCGACACGCGTCTCGTTCAAGAATCTCCCCTTCGTCCGGGCAGAGCGTGAGGGAGCCGCCCGCGTGCGCGACTCGGTCTTGTTCACCGGTTCCGACCCGCTCGATCTAAGCAGGTATGTCGACAAGGCGCCCATCACCGTGCAGATTCATTCGCCGCTCGAGCTGGTGCATCAGTACTTTGTGCGCTTGGGCGTGCGGTACCTGATTGTGGTGGATGAGCGCGGGCTGTACAGGGGCATCATCTTCAAGAAGAGCTATCTCAAATTCTTGGCCGATCTGGAGGAGGAGCAGGGAAAGGGGCATTAGATGGCGAGAATAGAGTAGAGACAGGAAGAAGAACAATAGCACGAGGGGAAGAACGTGGGACGACTTTACGACCATACGACCGAACGACCTGGACTTTAAAACTTGCATTGCAATGACGACAATCAGATACCTTTCCATCATCCATTGCTTCGCTCTTGCACGCCTTGCGAACAAACAAGCAGCGAATGACACTCGAAGGAGATAAGCATTGCTGTGAAGCGGATCTGAGATAGCAGGCAGGACTTGACGGCTATCCAGAGTTGGAGGATTTCGGAAGGCGTTTTTCTGGCACGCTTTTTCACCACGACTTTTGTTTTGGCGAACATAAATCTCGCACCAGGGTTTTCGTGTGGCCTGTTCAGAAGCACCCATCCATCGACCTCATCGACAGCGCAAGATGCGAGCACTGACACGCCAAGAGAATCGACGGTACATGCGGCGAAGCATGTCTGAACTGTATTGTGTTGATTTGGATGATTTGGTGATCACTTGCGTCGTCTTCGCGAGACGACCGTCTCGAATCCGTCCTCGTCCACGATTGGGCCCTGAGGCTCCCTCGCCGCCCTTGCCTGATCCTGCTCCAATCCGACCCTCGCTCCCTGTCGATCCGCCTCTGTGACACCGCCGTGCGACTGCGCCATACTCCTCGCATCCCTCATCTCCTCATCCGCATCTTCCCCGTCCACCTCGCCATCCTCGTTCTTGCCTTGCTCAAATGTAGCTTTCTTGCCCTTTAACTCCTCGTATGCCTTTTCCAATTCCCGCACTGCAGCCTGCGCCTTGGTCGTGTCCTCCTCCGGTGCGAAGATCACCCTGTGCAATCCGACGATGCGACCAGCGACCCAGTCGGGCGAACCGTCCTCGAGCCTCGCCTCGTACTCGTCGATCATGTACCCCTCGAGGATGTCGGCGAGGTCGTCGAGGTCCGGCTCGAACGCAGACCCTGGGTTGCCGTATTGATCGCAGAGATGCGAGAGGAGGAAGTCGCGCTTGTCGGCGGAATCGGGCCCGCCCCACTGCTCGGATACCGCGAGGCGCATCGCTGGCCACAGCTCAAACGTCAGCATGATGGATTTGGCAAAGAGCAGCTGCTGCGGTGTGGGGGCGTTGTCGATCTGCGCTATGGCGGCGCTGGTGGATGTAGACGGCTGGGCTGACATTGTGAAGCGATTAATGACGGGCTGTGTGGTGTAAGGTGGTATGAGGAGGCGAAGGAAAGAGAGAGCAAGAAGATCTCAGACCAAGAAAAATTCCAGGTTGGCTGCGTCTGTGCTGCAAAAGTTGGCTTCCGACTCCCGCTTGGTCGCAAAATGTTAGACCCACACTTGAGTGCACGAATGATGTCACGGCCGGATTGGACGCGGGTGCGTGCCTGAAAGTGTTGAGGTGGAGGCTTCTTTGCCTTTCAACGACCAACCAACCTCGTCTTCACCTCGTCTTCGCCTCGATCTTTCATCCATCTTACCCCTCTGCGACGGCGACGGGCGGTGACATCGCCACTATGCCGCGCAACATCCTCTCCATCCCGCCTAAGCGCACCCCTTCCATCTCAGGCGCACTCACCTCTGCCATTCGCACCTACATCTCGGACAACTACACCGACACCCACCCGGACGCCTTCACCAATGACATTCGCGCCTTTGTCCAGCTTCGCGATCAGGTCTCCTCGCTCGAGATCCACGTCTCTGCCATCGATCCGCTGCTGCGTTATCACGCCCAGCTCGTGTTCTTCTCCACCAAGTTTCCCGCCAACATCAACCTCTCCTTCCCGTGGTCGCTCAGCTTTCCGCCATCCCTCCCGTCATGGACGAGCACGATCTCGGGGGCCATGGAGGCAACCAAGTCCGCCGAAGCGGGTCCAGCATCCGGCATCGCGTACGCGACAAGCGACACGGTAGCGCACCCCGATCTCGCGTTCGAACGTGCCAATCTCCTCTTCAGCCTCGCAGCGCTCTACTCATCCCTCGGATGCGCAGAATCGCGCTCGGAGAAGGAGAGCATCAAACGCGCCACCGCCTGGTTCCAGAACGCAGCAGGCATCCTCCAACATATTCTCGACACGCTCGTCGAACCGACACGGCACCTCTCGCCCGCTTCTTCCGATCTCAACCCGCGTCTGCTCGCTTGCTTGAGGGACCTGATGCTCGCCCAAGCGCAAGAGTGTTTCTGGCAAAAAGCCGTCATGGACCGCATGAAGGATGGGACCATCGCCAAGCTTGCTCAGAAAGTGTCCGAGTACTATGCTACCGCAACGCAGGCCGTCACTGAGGGCCCCGGGGAGGATGGCAAGGTAGACGCGGCGGATACGGCCAAGCTGACGCTCCCAAGTGGGTGGGAGAACCACCTCACCGTCAAACGGGGGCACTTTGCTGCCGCCGCACAATACCGCAAAGCGTGCGACGACCTCGGCGCCAATCGATACGGTGACGAACTGGGCCGACTGCAGTTGGCGGAGACGCACGTGAAGAAGGCGCTCGATTCGGCGAAACGCGGCGTCAGCGAGGCTATCACTTCGGACCTCAAGAGTCTGCAGGGGATCCTGCAGAGCAACATCACGCGCGCCACACGGGATAACGATCTGATCTACCTCGAGGCCGTGACGCCGGCGACGCAGCTGGCGGCCATTCAAGCGGCGGCGATGGTGAAGGCGGTGGTGCCCGTGGAGGTTTTGCAGCCGATTGCGCATCTGAGAGATTCGCCAGCACCGGCATTTGGCAAACCGCTGTTCGGCGAGCTCGTGCCGTATGGTGTGCATCTGGCGATCAGCATCTATGACGATCGGAAGGACTCGTTCGTGCGGGACACGCTGGGGGCGAGGAGGGACGAACTGGACGCGATCGCTACGAGCACCCTCCAAAGCCTCAATCTGCCAGGGTCGCTGCAGGCGTTGGAACAACCGATGGGTCTGCCGCCGTCGCTGCTGCGCAAGCACGAGGAGTTGGTGGCTGAAGGCGGACTAGAGCGACTCCAGCGTATCGCGGCGGACGTCTCCCGCATTGCCGCTACGGACCGCGCGACGCTCTCGGAGGCGCTGGCGCTGCTCGAGCACGAGGAGCGGGAAGACGAGTCCGTGCGCACCTCTTTCTCTGCGCAATCCTGGGGTCGGCAGAGTAGCGCGGAAGTCAATGTCGATCTCAAGGCCCAAGCCGCAGAGTACCATTCGACGCTTCAAAAGGCAGTGGCATCGGACGAGATCGTGCGACGCAAGCTGGAGGACTGGGAGGACCTGATTGGTGTGCTTGGTGGGAACGTGCAGGGATTGGAAGCCTTCGTGCCGTCGTCCAACCCGAGTCTCTCCTCGCAGTCGGACGCGCAGGTGGCAGCGGTGCGATCGCTCCGCGAGGCGCTGGAGGGACTGGATGACCTGCTCGACTCGCGCTCGGCCTGCATCACCGAAGCCAAATCCCTCGCTTCCAACGACGACATTCGCCCCCTCGTCCTGCGCGAGGCAGCCACACTCTCCACCTCGGGCGAAGAAGTGGCCGCAGCGCAATTCGAAGAGCTCTTCGACCGGTCTCTCACCAAATACTCCCGCTTCGCCACCGACCTCGACGCCTCTGCTACCGCCCAGGAGGCCCTTCTCTCGCAAATCACGCAGAGAAACACCGCCTTCATCGACGCCCGCAAGAGCGATGCGACGATCCAACGCCGCGAACGCGCACTGCAGAGTTTAGAGGCGGCCTACGTCAAGTACCGCGAGCTGTCGAGCAATCTGGTGGAAGGGTTGGAGTTTTACAATGGTCTAGCGAGGATTTTGAGCGGATACAGGGATGGGGTCAAGGAATGGGCTAGGGCCAGACAGGTCGATTTGCACTGGCTGATCCATCAGATGGGACGGGTGAGCGTTCAGGAGCCCCAGCAGCCGGTGGAACACCAGCAACACGCGGAGCATCGCCAGGAGAGTCGACAGGACCAACGACTGGTGCAGGAGGAGGTGCAGCAGTCGCCCGCGAGACAGACCAGGAGTCGGACACGCTTGTCTCAGCAGCAGACGCAGCAGGAACAGGCGAGCCAGCCACAGCAACCCCCGCCACCGCAGTGGGGAGCCCTGCCGCCGGGAGCCAAGATTCAGTTCGGCGATTGATGCAAGGGATCATGTCATACGCGCAATAGACAGCGACTTGGAGTGACGATCAGCAGAAATATGCAAAGAGGTGTCAAAGTGAGATGCAACTGTCCATTGAGATGAGGCGAGAGATTGTCCGGTCTGAATGTATGCGATCCTGATGCGATTCGAGTCAAAGAAGGGGAACGTCTTAGACCAGTGTCGAGGCGGCCACCAGAGCGATGAGCGCCAGCGCGCCACTGCCCATCATACCCAGCTTCGAGGCAGCCGAGCTCGACCCGCGGCCAGTGCTACTGCCGCTCCCGCTGCCACTCCCCGTGCTCCCACCGGTCGTCGCATTCCCAATGGCTTTTGCGACATACTGCACGCCATTCATCCGCGCCGCAGCCTGGAAAACGCTTCCGTTGCCAACATCGTAGAAATCCGTCAGGACAAACGTCGGCCAGCTACCGCCGTGCATGCTCGCACAGTTGTTCGTGTCCGTCATGATGCTGTTCAGACTGTTTGTGGTGCTGAGCTCGGCGGTGTTGGGCACGTAGACGTTGGTGCCGAAGAGATTGAACGTCGAATCGAGGTAGTGGTTGACGAGGTACATGAGATTCGACGCGGAAGAGCCGGAGTTGATGCGGTCGATGGAGCAGTTGAACGGCACCGACGTTTGGTCGTACGGATTCTCCCAGGTGTTGCTAAAGTGCGGCAGGATGTACGGCACGCTAGCGTCGGCCGAGTTGTCAATGAACACCACCAGGTTCTTGCCGCTGTCGATGAGGCTGCTGAGAGTCGGCCAGGAGCTCTTGGCGATCACGTTAGAGGACGGCGAGTAGGCACGAGAGGAGATGCCCGTGGAGGAAAAAGCACCGCCAAAGGTCGACGCAGACTGATCGTCGGCATTGACAATGAGAAGCGTCACCACGTCGTTCGGGTTGGCGGCGAGCCAGCTGTTGACCTTGGTCAGGTAGGATTCTAGCGACCCGCCGTTCTCCAGCTCGCATCTGTCAAATGAAACGTGGGGTCAGCAACGGTGCACGGTGGGTTTCATCTGTCAAACTAGGCGCGACTTACGAAGAGTGACACAGATCGATGCCGGAGGCGCCCGTCGAGTTGGTATTGCGATGTGCCTGCACCTGCAGCAGACGGATACCGTCGTTGAGCTGCTGCGTGACATCCTGCTCCTGGTTCTTGCCCGTGGTGGCGCCGGCGAGCGTGCCGACGGCGTAGCTGTTGTGCGCGCCGATGTAGGTGACATTCGAGTAAAGACGAGAGCAGAGCGAGGCGTCGCCGTTGCAGACGCTGGCGCGCGGGGCGAGGGCGGGTGCGGCTGAGAACGGTTGAGGTGCCGCGATGACGGGGGTGAGGGCGGAGGTGAGGGCCACGGTGGCGCTGAAGAGGTGAGTGAATGCGAGCATGGTGGTGGATAGACGCCGGCGTCTGATGCAGAGCGATGATGGTGCGAAGGGGAGTCTAAACCGGAGTGTGTGCGAGGCAGCGGGCTGAGGACCGAGATGACGGTGCTGACGAGATGGTCGTGGTGGCGGAGCAACAGAACGCGTCAAGATTTTGTACGCCTATGTGCTCGACGCTCTGTAGACCAGAGAGAGTATACCAGAGAGAGTTTATGCGTGCTTGACTGGGAAGGAAAGGTGACTACACAGAGGCAAGGGTCGGCGCCTCCGTCTGAAGCTGTCGGATGATGAAGGGAGGATGTGACGGTAGCAAGGCAAGCGACAAATTCCAAGGAGGACGAGTGACATGCCTCGCTGAGTGTACGCCCTGCTAGGCCCTGCTTCTCGCCAGCAGAGTCTCCGCCCGGCATCGTGCTCCTGTCGATCTTTCTTGACGCCGTGCCGAAGTCGCCGCATGGATCCATGCCAAGGCGGTGTATACCCTGCAGCTGCAGCTTGCCGCGCTGTGTTGTGTCTGTGTTGGACTGAGCTTGAATTTTACACTTTTCCTCCTGAAAACCCTGAAAGAGCGCGCAAATCATGCTGCTGCCTCGGATCAAATTCGCCGTTGCCGAGCCCAAAGAAGCTTCAGCGCGCTCGGCTGTGCAGATCTCTGCCAAGGACGGCAGAAGGCTCAGAATACTGATACTCACTCATACTCATACTCAGCCTCGACTCGACTCGGATACCAGACTCAGGAGACATCTGAGCAGGACGATAGAAGTCAGCGCCGATCATCAGACCAGACCATCACATCGCAAAGGATGGGGTGACAAGAAACTCGGGATTGACGAAAGAGGTTACAGCGCTGCAAGAGACAAATCAGAAATGCGAGAGAAAAGTCGAGCGGGGGTATGCAAAGGAAATGCGAGCGAATTGGATGGGGACGCTTGGAGACAGAGGGAATAGGTGATTGCTGGCCAGAACTTTGGCTCAGCAAAGCTATGTTGATGTGCCGATGGACGAGCTCAGGCGCTGCTTTCGATGGCAATCTGGCGCGTCTTCGAGTGCTCCTCCTTCTTCTTTGGGATCTCGAGTCGGAGCAGACCGTCGTTGAAGCGAGCCTTGAGTGAGGCGTCGTTTGAAAGGTCGGCCGTGGGAGGCAGCGTGAACGAGCGGCTGAACGATCCGTAGACGCGCTCAGAGACCAGAGCGTGGCCGACGGGGCCGACCTGGCCACCCTGTTCCTTCTTGCTCACCTCGGTGGAGGAAGAGGCGCCCTTGTCGTGCTTGTTCTTGCCGTGCTTTTCGTGCTGCTGCTGCTGGTTCGAGTCCTGAGCTTCGCGCGACTGGTCGCTGTTGCCGCCCTGGCCGTCCGAGGCAGGCTGCGAAGTGTACTCGCTCTTCATGTGTCCCTCGAGCGTGAGCCTGCGTCGGTCGGCGTCGACGTTGATCTTGAGGTCCTCCTTCTTGACCCCCGGCAGCTCGGCGGTGAGCACAAATTTAGTGTCCTCCTCGTGCAGGTCCACCTTGGGGCCGGACCAGATACGGTAGTCGCCGGCATTGACATTGGGGCGACTAGCAGCGACGGGGGCAAAAGGGTTCATGAGCATCAGGTCGCGCAGCGACGACGGGAAAACGTCAAAGTCGTCGACGGGCGACGCGAAGAAGGTAGAAGGTCGAAGCAGAGACATGTTGGTTCGAGCGGTGCTGAAGGATCGCTGTGGAGTAGGTTTGTTGTTTGGAGCGCTGGTGGGCTTGAAAGCAGAGACGCTGGCGAGAGGGGAAGCGCGAGGACGAGCAGCGGCGTTGCGGGTGATCGAGGCAATCTGCGAGCTAGGCAGTGGGAGTCGGAGCGCCTGACGCATCAAAGTCGAGTTGAAGATATCGCTGGGTAGAGGGCGATGAGCTTGAAGTCGATGATGATGGTGATGAGCGTTGTAGTCCGATGATATCTGTGAACTTTGGTGTTGACGAGGAGAGGGGGATGGACGCATCCTCGAGAAAGGCCGTCTAGATATACCTTTACAGCCTTCGAGGCGTGCCTGCGAATGCGACAGAGCATGACTCAGTGTCGTCGACTCAGCGTCAAGGCTCGAAAAAGCACGGGCTGCTCAGCGACCTTCAGGATGCCTCTGGAAGCATTCTAGCCAAGGCTCGAGCGGGCACGACTCCAGGTCCACGTCAGCAGACCTCCTGACACACTCAGATAGTCTCGGTTCACGTCGCTTGATGCCGCTACGGAAGCGCTGATGAGTACTCTCGATCCTTCTGGCAGACTCGTCTTTCTCACGGTTGACACGGGAGCACGGAAGCAGTCCGCTCGATGACACATAGACGAGAGGGAGCGTGCGAGTGAGAAAGTCTGCGTGGGAAAAGCATGTTCGGCTCCTGCGGTGCTGAGAGGGACCTCGAAGGTTCGCCACTGGTCTCCGTTGCTTGACAGCTCTCATCTGTCTCAGGTCGGAAGCCTCGCGTGAATTCTAGACGCTTCCACTGCGCACCAGCGCTTTTCCCCTTCCACACGTCTGGGTACTCCGAATTTTTCGTAATTGTTAAGACGGAGATTGCTCTTGTCTGAGAACACCTGTCGTCTTGGTGGCGCTGCGGAATGCTGGGGTGTGAGACACAAGCCTTGACAAGCAAGGATCGATGACTGTAGGAGGCTCGATCGCGACCAGCGAATGCCACAGCCCGAGCGAGAGCATTTGGGATTGAGGGTCGCCTTTGCTTCCACGGGAAGCATTCCTGACCAGCGGAAGATCTTGTTTCTGCCATCACCATCGCCGTCTCTTGAACAGTCTCCTTTTAAGCAGTCACACGTGTAGTCATAAAGGCGGTCAAGGACTCCGCCCCGCCGACTTCAATTCCTCCAAATCTGTTCTACAAGATGCTCGAGGGTGAAGATCGCGCTCAGCTGATCAAGGACATGCAACGAGGCCGCTCCGGTCAAATCCCCTACGACTATAGCACGACGCTCGCCTTCTACGATGCTCGCATCCTCCTCGTCTTTGCTGGCATCTCTAGCGGCCCGGACAGCTACTGCACAGGGGCTGTTATCTCCAAAGCAGGACCTCTAGGAAAGGTGGAGGACTTCTTCAAAGTATTCGAACGGCTGCGCGAACAACCGGAACCACACACACTGCAACGCGCCGACGATGGTCAAAGATGTTATATCTACCTGAACACAGGGTTCGCACATGACAATCCTGTTGGCTTGCGCCCACCTGCCCTCGTCGAGTGGTTCGAGCGCCAATGGCACGGACAATCATGATCGAGAAGCAATAAGCAGCGCCTTGTATCTAATTCGCATACGCAGCGTGCACCTGGCTCTCGACCTCGGCCAGCATATCCTCGGTCGCCTTGTCCGGGAATGGACTCATCTGCGTATGCACCATGCCACAAGTACCATCCTTGAAATCAAGCCACCACCAGCTGTTCTGAACCCCGCACCAGCTGAGCGAGTCTTCGCTGAGACCGCGAGTCGGGTGCTTCTCCTTGAGCCTCAGGCCACCGTAGGCCCAGTTCTTCTTGAGCCCGGGCGCGCAGCAGCCGGCAAAGTTCTCGCTCATCACGGCCGGAACCACCGCGTCGAACTTGCGCTCGAGGTCATCGACAAGCTTTCCGTGAAGCTGGTCCTTCTTCAACAGCTCGACGCTTTCCGGCTTGAGGATGGTGCCGCCCTGAGTAGGGTGCGTGCCCTTGTTGAGCAGTGCCACGAGGATCTTGACGTATTCGGAGCCGTTGGCGTAGAGGCCGGCGCCAGGATAGACAATCTCCATCTTGTCCTCGTCCGCCAAACAGAGCTGGATGAAGGGCAGGATGTTGCCGCTCTCGTCGCGCATGTGACTGGCAGCAAGGCGATCCATGAGGCCGGCCGATTTAGGCTTGAAGGTGATGTCCTTGACGCCGAGCGGCTCAAAGATGTTTTCGCGGTAGTACGTCTCGAGATCCTTGCCGGTGATGACTTCGACGGCCAAGCCGGCCCAGTCGATGTTGAAGCCATAGTTCCACTCCTCGCCGGGCTGCGAAGCATACGGCGTGAAGATGCTCGCTCGGCTATGGTCCAGGTTGGCCGTCGGTGGCAGGCCCTTGCTGGCAAACCAGTCGGCGAGGTCCTGGTTGAAAAGGGCACACGCCTGGCCGGACAGGATGAGCAGCGTGTCGTTGACCGTCGGGATCTTGTTCGGAGCCGAGCCATCCTTGAGCATCTTGAGCTCACCTGCTTCGGGCAGGAACTTGGCGATGCTGTCTTCGAGGTTGAGCTGACCGCGTTCCACCAGCTGGAGACACGCGATGGCGACGAGCAGCTTAGAGCAACTGGCGATCCAGAAGATGGCGTCCTTCTTCATCGGATCGGGTTTGGTAATGTCGCTGACGCCGGCGGCCGCCCATGCAACCTCCTTACCGCTCGCATCGGCGATGTAGGCTACGGCGCCGGGAACGTTGTTGGGGCCCTTGCCGGCTGTGTAGGTGTCGAGCACCTTTTGCACGCCTTCTTGCAGAGACGATTTGTCGGGGGCGGTCATTGTAGGGACGGTATCTGGAAAACAACGGGTTTGGGGATAGAGAGGCTGCCGAGATCATGCCTTGACGAGGTATGGCAACCCTTTTATGCCTCAACAATGGCTGGCCAGTGCGGCATGAATTGCGAGAAGGAAGAGTCTTAGTTTCGGTTCTGGAGGCAACAGCATCCCTCGACTGACCCGAGGCACGGGAACAGAGTCGGCACAGGATCTTGGCTGTCGGACGATGCACAAAGTCGAGCCTATTTTGTATAGAAAGCGAGGAGACCTTTAAAGGGTCACATGCCTAATGAACCAAGCGACCATGCTGCTAGTGCGGGGAAATGAACGAGATGCCATCTTGCATGCAGCGGATACCGACCGCGGAGAGCGCACAAGGGGATATCACGGCATGAGAGACCCTGAACGCTCAAAATGTGGGGAAGCAGCTCTAAAAGGCGCACCAGCCATGCGTATTTCTCAAAAACATCTGTTAGGCCCCTCTTTTGTGCTTGACAATAAAATGGCTGGGAAACACGTGACGAGCTGAGACGGCTCTGCCAGATTCGCGCCGTTTTCCGAGACTTGAAGCTTCCATTTCATCCATCATCCTTCTTCTCTCGCTCTCATCTCGACGAAGCTTGTTCAGCAACTAGTGTCAGACGAGGCGCGGACAGCGATCAACTGCGGGACTCAACAAAGAGCCACAGCGACCAGTCCAACTTAATCGGCCCCTCAGCTCGAGCGCCGGCCTCATCTATCTGAAGAAACATCGACGACGACGACTCGGATACTCCCTTTTGTCGCATACCCCTTGCAGATCCGACCCAGGCCGTCAGAAGCATTGCAGCGCAGTTCGAGGATCGTGACATTCGCCCAACATGCCTCCCACAAAGCCCAAGGGCGGCAAGATGATGTCGCTCATCAACTACAGGCTTCGCATCACACTCAACGACTCGCGTCAGATCGTCGGTCAGCTGCTCGCCTTTGACGCTCACATGAATCTCGTCCTCGCCGACTCGCAGGAATACCGAAAGATCAAATCGAGAAAAGCAAAAGCGAAAGCGGCCGCGGCTTCCAAGGAGGGCAAGGCAGCCGTCGAGGACGAGGAGGACGAGGACGACCTTGGAGCTTCGTCGAATGCTCCGGATGCCATCCTGGAGCAAAAGCGAACGCTGGGCTTGCTCATCCTGCGCGGAGAGAACATCGTCAGCATGGCCATCGAGGCACCACCACCGGCTGATGACAGGAAACAAGCGACCGTAAGTAATGCCTCCCTGCCTTCTTTCCGCACGTCACACGCCCCAGCATGGCTGTGCCGCCGACTTCGTCCAGAGTCGGCTCCCTTCGCACATTTATTGTGACTCTCGACTGACCTTTGGTGTCCGATCTTACCGCTCTCAATCGCAGATGCAACCCGGCCCCGGCAAAGGCGCTCCTATGGGTCGTGGCATGGGCCTGGCAGTGCCACCCATGGCGGGAGCTGCACCTCCCATGATGGCTCGTCCCATGCCCTACGCGAGACCGCCCCCTGGCATGCCTGGCATGCCTGTTCCACCACCAGGCATGCCCGTCGGTCCACCTCCTGGTTTCCGTCCACCTGGCTTCCCCGGCATGCCAGGCGGTCCACCTCCCGGCTTCCCCGTTCCTCCGCCGGGAGGCTTCCCTCCTCGTCCACCGCCTGGGTAAATTCAACCTTCGTCTCTTGTTGGTACAAAGATACAAGCTGGTTGCTGACATGTCTTTCTTTTGCTTCTCTTTCGACCACGCAGATTTGGCATGCCGCCACGACCACAATGATCGGATCGCTTTGCTTGCGACTGCATCAGTATCGCACAAGGCTCACGCTACAGCTCAAAAATGTATTCATAGCCATAACGCAATCACATCGACCATTCTCATCGCAGACGCACGAGGTGAATCGGATCGAGTTCGTCGGTCGTCACTGCTCTTTTGATGCTCAGTACGGCAGCGACGAGCAGTCTGTACATTCTGCCCTTTTGAGATGCTCTCGAAGCGCCCACACGCATCTCCAACCAGCGCGGTTGCTGCTGGGATCTCAACTTCTCCGGGCAGTTCAAGCGTCCAGGCGAAACACAAGGTACATTCCGAAAGTGTTGGCAATCTTCGAATCAAGGTAACATTTCTTCGTACAGAACCGAGACAACTCCTAGGCGGTGGAAACCATCCTTTGTGCGGCGCGAATCTTGCCGCCGAACGCAATCAGTACCACCAACGTGACGAGCGTCAACACAGCAGTGACCACCGCCTGGACGACATAACTCTTCGTGAATCCCTCGAAGGCCCATTCGGGCACAAAGAAGGGTGCGGAGAAGGCCAGGACGCACTTGACAAAGTTGAAGAGCGCAATGCCATGCACCGCTTTGGTGATGTACGACTCGATGATGTAGGTTTGGAGGATGCCACCCGCGGCCGAGTTGGCAACATAGTACACGCCGATGCCACCGATGACTTCGACGGGCCAGGAGAGCTCCTTGGCGTAACCGATGCCGTAGAGCAGCAGGCCGATGGTGAGCAGCACCACATGCGGCAGCAGTGCCCACAGTCGGTATTCCGGCACGCGCTTTCCGTCCGACGAACCCGAGTGACGACGAACGAAAAAGTCGACCGTCTTGTCCGAGATGTAGCCACCGGCAAATTTGCCGATCAACGCACCCACCGCAGCGGCAAGGAAAGCCAGACCGACCTGAACGTTGGTGAACAGCCACGGGGGACGAGGGAAGACCTGAGGGGAAACAACGGTGAACCCAACACTCCACATGAAGATGACCGCGTACGTGATGGAGGGCACGATGAGCGGGATGTACATGGCCATCTTGAGGGGAGCGACGATCTCGCCGAGGAAGCGAAGCGGTTGTTGCCAGGGATACCAGGCGGCACCCACCCGACCGTAGCTGCCGCTCTCGAGGGTTCCTGCAGTGGCGAGAGGTGGGGTCGACGTGCCGTGCTCGAGCGAGTGCGAGTCCTTCTTCTCCATCTCATCGCCAGAAGTGACGTTGTGCATGGAGGAAGGGTTCTCGTTATATCGCGTCTCGGGGACGAACAGCAGAATGCACACCCACAGCACACCCGCCAGGATGACGGTGAGGTAGTACACCCACCTCCAGTTTTCCGTTCGCGTCAAGATGCCTGCACCAATAACAGGAGCCGTAACGGGCCCGGCGATGAGCAGCACCGTCCATGCGGCGATCGCTGCTCCTCGATGCTCGGGCGAGAACGTCTCGGAGATCAGCGACGCAGGGACGGTCTGGGAGACGGCGCCGGTGAAGCCGGCGAAGAAACGGGCGGCGGCAAAGCTGTCGTAGCTGCCCGCGCGGGAAAGCCACACGGTGCAGGGAATGTAGAGCGTCCATGCGAGGAGGTAGGCTGGGCGACGACCGAGGGACTCGGAGATGGCATTCCACAGGAGAGGGCCCGTGCCGAGACCGAGGATGCCGATGCCGATCGTGTTGGCGGTGGCAGTGATGGTGCGGTGGAATGCTACAGAGACTTGGTGGAAGGCCTAGAGGGGAAAAGCAAAGGTGTCAGCAATGGGTTTGCAGTGAATGGAGGAATGAAGCATGGACACGTACAGTCAAGTGGGCTGCAGCCATCTCGTTAGCCGCAAAGGCGGTAAGCGAGACAGTGGCAAGCATCAGAAGCTTTCGCCATGTTGGAAGGTTGTATGGATGGCTAGGATCCGGATGAACGAGTGAGCCAGACCTCATGATGGCGATGTGTCAAGGGTTGGGCTAGATGAAATATGGATGTGCTGAGGGTGGGCCGAGTGGGTGAGCCGATACGTCAGGTGCGGACAAGGGGCAGGGTCGACGATACGGAAGGCGCTGACGGGCGAGGGCTTGAGAGGTAGAGGAGGCAGTCGAGGCCGCAAGGAGAGGGGTATAAGTACCTATCGGCAAAGCTCCAACGGGGTCCAAGCAGTCTCAGAGACCGAGAAAGGGAAGTGCGGGGTTCCTTAGATGCAGGAGCGTGAAGAGCGCAGGTTGGGGCGACAAAGACGAGATGCAACCGATGAGGGGCTTAGCAAGAGATCGCACCCAGAAGCGCAAGGTTATGTCCGAGGGGCAAACGTGGCGTTCGAGATCAGAGGCGGGAAGGTCAAGAGGCACAACCTGGAGAGCAGTCAGGAAGTCAGGAGAGAAGAAGCATGGGTGAAAGGCAGGAAGGATATGTCGGAAGCAAATCGAGTAGGACGAGGAGGGGCTTGGTCAGGCACATCGCTCGCAAGGCGCTAGCAAGCATGTGATGAGTTGCCAAAGGGACACCGGTGACAAGCTCCAAGAGAAGATGAAGTTGCCCTGCAGAGCTCGGCTTGTCAAGCGACGTCGAAACCACGAGAGAGCATGCTGTGTGCCTCTCGCTTCAGGCACATACAAGGGCAAGCGAGACATGAAGAAAAATTTGGCCTCTCCGCCAGGGTTGGTCTGCACAGTCTGCTCCGAACGAAGCTCGCACCACCCTTCTGGGTTCTTCAGCACGAGCGTGAGTCTATCGGAGAAGACAGCCTGCAACCGTGGCAGGGTCAATATGAAGGACAGGGACACAATGAGAGCGGAGTCTCGAATTTGATCCCGTAGAGTGCAGAAGCAAATGACCGCGGCCGACGGCAAGGTTGTCTCAAGCCGCGCGGTGGGACGACTGCTGTGGTGCCCTCGCCGCTCTTTGCGCCGCGCAAACCGCCGCTTCACTTGCAATCCTCCTTTCTTCTTTGTCTGCTTGGTCACCGGCCGTGCACGTCTTGTTGAAGCGCGAAATCCTGTCTACAACGGCCACTTTCCCTGCCAGGGCTTGATGAAGTTGGAGACATAGGCACATTTTGGCTTGTGATGGATCGGACCAACTAACACAGCGCAGTGGGTGTATGTCTGCGGACGAGACGTTGGGCTTTTGCGCACTAGTTCGCGACACCACAACCAGCCCTCCTGCTTCCTTTCGATTGTGCGGGGTGCATGGTTTCACTGCGCCTAGATCATGGAGCCCCACGATCCGTCAACGACCGCCGACAGCACGTCGTGCTTGACCGAATGGAGAGGATGTCAGGGATCCCGCCTGGTCGATGAGGGAGCGCCACTCGAATGTCGAATAAGGCCGTGACTTCCTTGTCAATTCTCCGAGAAGGATGTCTTTATCGCACGGGTTAGCGCGACAATTCAGCATTCTCTCGACCGACTCTATCCATCATGCTTGGAGGCCGTTACCCCGCAATGTCTGCACCCCGCTCGTTGCCCATGCATTCATTGACCTGTCGGACACTGCAGCTCGAACGACATGGCGGAATCACGACAGCGTTGCTGGCGGCATGAGCATCGCGCTTGCAGGCACGTGGCGAGCGACTAGCTCCGAGGCCCTTTGATCCGTTGGACTTGCTGCCTCGAACGCCGTCTGCTGTGTTTTGGGCTCCCGAACCAGCGCGACTCCGCTGCCGACGGCTTCCACCGTTGTCACATGGTGCTGCGACTCGTGTGTCTGCATGCTAGGGTAGCGCACCGCTGTATCCGTCTGCCTTTGCGAATTGCTCGGCCGGCTCTTTCTATCGCACTGAACCTTTCTCGTGCGTCTAGTCCGGATCCCTCGCCGAGGTCGAGGCTTACCCCACACTTTGGCCCGCCAAGCTTTTGGCATTCATCGCCTCGCGAACGTAATCTGGGTAGGTACTTGTTAGTGATCGCGTGAGCAGTTGAAAAGGCAGTGGACCATCTGGGTGTCTCTGCCATGTAAGCGATGCAGTCGGATGGTTGCTTCTCGAAGCAGCGCGGGGTCAGCCAGTGAGAAGCAAGCACTGCCATCCGGTCATCAGGACCCTGCTTCGTCCCTGCAGGAGAGGACATGCCTGATCTAGTCCCGCTTGTACGAGCTGAAGCTTTCGCTCGTCCAAAGCTCTATCAATGGTCGTAGCTTCAACGCTGTTGGATGCATCGTCGGATCTTTCCTTCCGCCTATGAAGCCCAAGTGATGGCAGTCACGGCCCTGTCATCCGCAGCGAGCTCCTGCAATGTCTCCGCATCTTCCTGACCGCTCTTCGGCCATTCGCACGGATCCGCGTACTGTGTTCGAGACAGAGCCAATCGATCGGCCATCTGTCCGATCTCTCGATACCGTGGACGCAACGACTCACGCAGGAGCCCTCTCCTCACGGAGCAGAGGCATTTGGCTGCTGTCAGGGAAAGCCAACCTCAGGGCTTTTTGTTTTTCAGCCTTAATTTTCGCGGCGTCATTCCTACCCCGCACAGAAAAGACGCCGCGGCAAGCGAGTGACGTCGAAAGCTGCACCCTTTGGACCGTTGCCGAGGCGCTTTGGCTTGCTATGATGAGTGATGCGCCACGTCAGATGTAGGGGTTGCTTGCTTGGCCGCAGCGAGTGCCAAGCACATCTCATGTCGAAGCGCGGCCTTGACATCAGGCCACCATCATCTCTCCTCGGCAAGAGCAAGCAGAACGAACAGACAAGATGTCGTCTTCAGGATTTGATACAGGCGCAGGAACCTACGACAAGCTAGCCAGCGCAAAGGGGGGCGAGGGGCTCGATATTGATGCCCACACTGCAGGTAGGCGGCTTCTCTTCCTCACGATGAACCTTGAACGACCTCGTCTGACTTTTCATGCTTGCTTCTTCACTGTCGTGATCAGGCCGCGACAACCCTCCGGGCGAAGGTGTCGACGCAGGCGCCGGCGCAAAGGACAACATCCCTGGTCAGGGTCTCAGTGGCGGTGCCGGCAGTGAAGACGCCAGCGCAGCTGCCAAGGGAACCGGCGAAGGCTTGAGCGCTGGCGAGAAGGGCAGCAACCGCACCGGAGGAGGTGTCACCTTGAACGCCGGCAGAGAAGAGGAGTTCAACGGCCCAAACAGCAAGAACTTTGTCGACGTCGAGAGCAAGGTCCAGAGTGAGTATTGCCTTATTGCATCTTGCTCTTCGATTCGATGGCTCGTACTGACCGGCATGCGGCTCTGTGTGGTCTTGCGCCCCAGACTTCGCCGACAAGATCAGGGACAAAGTCAGCTCCTAGGCTCCCGTATGCAATTCACAGCGCCGTCGCAATCCAGGGCTGTGTCACGAGTGGCTGAAACGAACCCATTTCATTGATACGTGTGAGGTGTTTCGACACAATGGCTGGCTGAGTGGGGTGCACGCTGAACCTATGAGCAGAGCCGGCGGCTATCGAGCAGAAATGTGGGGAAGGCGGTAACGTGCATATCCGGACATGGCACGGTGACCCAAGTCATGAAAATCGCAACTTTCACGAGCTTATCTGCAGCATGACGCTCAATACCGTCTTCTGCTACCACCACCCATCTTCCTAGCTTCTTACCACCCACCATAGTCCGAGACGATCATCGCCGCAACCTTGAACACATCTGCACGTGCGCAATGACGACCGAGGCATCGACCTCAGCATTCCGGCGAGAAAACGTCAAGTTTGCCTCGCAGAACGACCTGTGTGCTGCATGGGTGTACCGACCGACCGCATCACCCTTGGCGTCTCGCTCCGGCACCTCCGCGTCGAAGCAATACCCTGCCATGATCCTCGGCCACGGTCTCGGCGGAATCAAGGAGATGGGTCTCGACCGCTTCGCCTCGCGCTTCACCGAGCTCGGCATCGTCTGCGTCGTCTTTGACTACCGCCATTTCGGCGAGAGTGGCGGCCAACCGCGCCAGCTGCTCGACATCTCCCTTCAACTGCAGGACTGGGAGGCGGCCATCGACTATACCTCCAGTCTGGAGAACGTCGACAAGGAGCGCATCGGAATCTTTGGGAGCAGCTTTGGCGGTGGCCATGTGATCAGCGTCGCAGCCAAGGACAAGCGCGTCAAGGCGGTCATCTCGCAGTGCCCCTTCACTTCCGGTTTCCATTCGGCGCAGACGGTGGGACTTCTGCCGCTGCTGAGGTTGGGTGTGCTGGGTCTTCGGGACATGCTATTCTCGTCCAAAGACCAGATCTTGCCCGTCCCTCTCGCGGGCAATCCTGGCGAAAGTGAGTGCACCCCCTTCTTCCCACTTTCCCGCTCGTTCTCTTCGCTGACAAAGCTCCTACCTTGCAGCTGCGCTCATGAACGCGCCGGACGTCATCAAGTTCCGCCGACTCATCCCGGCCAACTTCGACTACGCAGACTACGTAGCTGCTCGCTTTGCGCTTCACATCGGTCTCTACAATCCGGGATGGAAGAGCGCCTCGGTTCACTGTCCGATTCTGTTCGCCGTCTGCGGCAAGGACTCGGTCGCACCGCCCGGTCCCACGCTGTCCTACGCCAAGCAGGCACCTAAGGCAACGATCAAGCTGTACGAGCAGATGGGCCACTTTGACATCTATGTCGACGAGCACTTTGATATCGCCACCAAGGACTACAACGAGTTCTTGCGGGCCAATCTGTAGCATCGAGTTGGATCAGCACGCATTCAAAGCGATCATACAGCACGGTCCTCGTTGGTGATGAGCAAATCTAGTGTGCGATGCGAGATGCGAGATGATCCTATATTATTGCTGATGCAGATGACAATCCGAGCGATCCAACAGCCCCGACTTCCTCAACGACCTCCAGCGCGCTTGCCCCCCGCGCCTCGACCCTTCTTGACCGGCGTGCCGCTCGCCGCATCCACCAGGTGCCGATCCCAGCGCGGCTGCTGTTCAAAGATGCAATCCGTGATGAGCTGCTTCTTGTACAGCCTGAGCGGCTCGCCCTTGACGGTAGGCATGCCGACCAAATCGCGCCACTCAATCGTATGGTCCTCTCCGACAATGAGGTGGTACGTCTCGGGCTCGGAGAGCAGCTTGTCCTCGTCAAACGGAACCGGCAGCACCTGTCCGCCTGCCGCCTCGATGAGCGTTGAGAACGACCCGTTCTCGTCCACGCCTCGACCCAGCCAGAAGCGATGTCCGTGGTAGATGCCGTGTGTGAACTCGCTCGCACGGCGGCGCATCACGTCGGCGAGCACAATCCCATAGGTTTTCTCACCCTCCTTATCGACCAGGTCGTAGACCGACGATCCGGACTCTGAGCGGGGAGAAACGCACTCCTTCCTCTTGAGGCACGCCTGCAGCCAGTCGGGCGAGACGATCGCAACGCTACCCGACGCGATGGCGTACAGCATCTTGGGCGAACGCGACACCTTGGGCGTCACGAGGACATCCGCCATCTCGATGTCGTCCACGATCTCGATGCCGAGCGCCTTGAGCTTGGTCTCTTCGGGCTTCTTGAGCTTGTAGTTGCTTGTGGCGATGCGGAGAGGGGCGTCGTTGCTGCGCGCGTCGTCCGAGGACGGAACAGTGGTGCTCGGCGTGACGGATCGTCGGGATCGTTTGGTCACGGTCTTGTGGGAGGCGAGCTCGTGCTCGACCGCGCGCGCTTCCAGGTAGTCCGTGGTGGGCTGGCGGACGCTATCTTGGAGGATCGACATACGGCTGCGTTTGGTGCCGCGGTGGGCAAGCGGACTGGGCAGGATGTTGGCTGGTAGATCTTCGGAGCGACCTGGCGAGCTGGGCATCTCGGAGGAGGTGTCGATCGTCGTCGAGCCGTCGTAGAGCGGAGGCATTCCGTGGTGTTGCAGCGACGGAGTGGCGGGAGGCGATGTGCCAGTCGTGTCTGCCGTGTCGCTCGAGCCTGGGTGTGCCGCCTCGGGCTCGGGAACATCCTGAGGTGCTTGGAGGTTTTCTGACACCTCGCGTGCATCGACAGACGGCGCAGATTCGGCCGCCGACTCTTCTACGGCGGTATACGGTACCGCCGGTGTCACAGGGTCGCTCGTAGGCAAGTCCTCCGGCTCGTCATTCTGAATCGCATCGTCAATCCACGGCCCGAGGCTCTCGTCCGTGACCCTCGTGTCGCCAACGTCCGTGTTGTAGTCCACATCCTCGGGGAAGTCGATGTACTTGAGTCTGGCCCTTTCGACGGGCGCCCAAGCCAAGAACGAGTCGACAATGTACTTGTGATTGACGATAGGGACGTCCCACTCCTTTGCCTTGGTCGTCTTTTCGCTGACGAGGTTGGCGGCGACGCAGAGGCTCGTCTTGGAGCTGAGTGCGCCCGAAAAGGTGGCGCCCATGAGCTTGATCATCTTGGTCAGGTATTGGCGTGTGGTGCCGCGGTAGCCCGAGATGGTGATTGATGCATCCTTGAACTCGGCGATGCCTTGGCGGGGCACGGGAAAGTGGAGAGGTTCTTCTCGTGGGTCGCTCAGCACGTCGTTCGAGACGACCCAGATGAGCCAGGTGAGGTTGCCCACCTGCTTGCCCTGTCGGATGGCTTCGCGGAACTCCTGCACCTCGCGGTACCGGCATACGACAAAGTCAGAGTTTCGTACCGCTTGGGCGATGCCGTTGAGCTCGTTGGGTGCGCGACGCAGTGTGCCACCGGAGAGCCGGACAAAGTGCTCCAACGATCGGAGCTGCTGCTCGCTGGCTCGACACACGTCGCGAGCGAGCAAGACGCTTTTCCCCCTAAAGACGCTCTTCTCGCGCTCCTCACCTGCCTTGGAACTCGACATGGACCGACTGTTTTCGCCCACCAGACTCATCGCGACGCGGTCTTTCCTTGGCGAGCTCAACGGCGATCCACTTGCCGTCCTCCCTGCGAAGCACGGCGGCGGCGTCGTTTGTCCAGGCAAGAATTGATACGAGTCCAAGGGCAGCAGCTTTTGCAGACGCCACGAGTCGCTGATCCACTGCGGAGCTACGCAGATGGTCTGCTTGCCTGGCGCGTTGATGATCTTCTGGAGCTTTGTGGACGAGGTGTTGGTGGTGAGAAACACGTTGACGTCGAAAAAGTGGTCTTCGCGCCAGAGACCGCCGTAGGCTGCAACGATGCTGCTGATGAGCTCGCGGTCGGCTTTCGAGAGCTCGGATTTGGAGGCGGCGACGCAGAGCCCCGAGAAGATCATGTCGCTGCGGCAGGAGAAGCGGTCTTCTTTGAGGCGGATGGCGAGCTGTGCGCTGCGACGTACCCATTGCGGCTGGAGTTCCGATGAGGATTCGGGAGGAGGCCGACGTCGGAGCCAGGCGCGATGGACGGATAAGCCGAGGGAATAGTGGCGTGGGAAGAGGGTGATAAAGGTGCAAGCGACAATGTCGGGTCAGCAACAGTGCTCTTGTGTCCAGTTCATCGGATGAGGCCACTGATGGCTGCCGCGAAGGTACTCACTGTGACAACGAGGGGCCGCTGGGAGGCCGCTGGACCTTGTTCGAGCAGAGTTGGCTCGATACAATGCTGGTACTCAGGAAAGTCGATGCTGTTGGCGAGGACGTGTGTAACCGTATCGAGGTTGAAGCGGGCGCTGGTCGAGTCTGCATCTGGCCGGCTGCCACTTGTCATTGCACGGGCATCATACTCGCATCCACTACCTTGCCACAAAAGTGTGCGGATCTGTAATGGTCGAAAGACAAAGCACGGCGTCAGTCGGCACTGCACTGTTATGCGTGGATCGGAAAGCTCCTGGCGCATACACTTACATCTTGTTGCGTGACCTCGTCGATGTCGTCGTTGATATAGTAGTGCACGCCTGCGAACAGGTCGTACGGTAGCGGCTTCGCGGACGACGACGACGACGAGGGCTGGAAAGATGAGCTGGCCATCTCGATTCGTCTTGCGGTCTCGATCGATTCTATGGGATGAGACTCCAGCGTGCTATGGGTGTCGTAGTCGTGATCGAAGTGGGACCTGCTGCTGGCGAGTGTTCCAAGTGGTACGTAGTGATGTCGACGGCCTGGGTGGACTCGGATGCTGGTAGGCTTGCCTGCGCTTGAATAGATTGGTGGAATAGACGATATAGGAATTGGTAGATGGGGATGGTGATCTACAGCAAGGGTGGAAGGTCAAGCTGGAATGGCTCAGCTAACCGCCACAAACTTTCCAGACCGGAGCAGGAGGTTGCCGACCCTATTCAGGTGGAGCCACGCATGTCATCCACGATCCACAGACAGCCGCGCCTCAAGCCGAAAATTGGAGAGCTGAGTCGTGTCGCGTAGATGAGAAGAAATGTGAGTGTTGCTCTCTCTCTCTCTCTCTCTCTCCGTCCTCGATTTCCTTTTGAAAAAAGGGAGACGCGAAGCACGACGCGTCGGCGAAATTGGCTGAGGTCTGTAAGATCTTTCGAGAAGGCCAAGTCTGGGCAAGGCTCGTGGTTGCGGCTTACGCTCAGGCTGTCGCGGGGATTCGATGCATTGATGTCAACACAGACCGCGTCTCACACAGGACAGGACAGCCATGACCGAGAAAAGAAGCGCTGGGCTGGGTTGGGGGGTGTATTGCGATTGGATGGCAGCAAGCACAGTTTCGTTGTTACAAGGTAGGAGGGAGCATGGCGTTGTGGGTATGTTGAATCGCTGCTTAGGCGGCAGGAGCAGCGTCGGTGGTGCTCTGCTTGTTGTAGTCCTCCATCTCGGCGTCGAGATCCTCGACGGTCTTCTTGGGACGAGCCTCACGCTTGGTGCCACGCGCGCGACCACGACCCCGGGTCGAGGCACCAGCAGCAGCGCGGCCTCCTTTGCCCTTGGCGCCAGCAGCAGCGGCACCCTTGGCTCCCTTGGTCGCGTTCGCGGGTGCGGCGGCCACCTTGGCGGGGTCCACGACGACCTCGACCTTGAGAGGCTTCTCTATAGATGGACAACCGGGTGCGCAGCAGCTTGATAAAGTTAAGCGATCTGTTCATGCTGATGCGGAGCGCTGTCTCTGAATGCGATACTCACTTCCGTCGATCAATCGGTTGTTGTACTGGGTGTAGGCACGTCCAGCATCGTCGGCACGCGAAAATTCAACAGTGCAAACGCCGGTGGACTGGCCGTTAGCTCGGTAGCTCATTGCCGCCTTGCGGAGAGGGCCGATGGTGGTCGAGAAGAGTTCCTGTGGGGAAGCGCCGGCAAAGGACGTACGAGGATGTGCGTCAAAGCGAATGCAGCGGTTGGGTGTCAGATGTTGCAGAGATACGGCGGCGACGGTGGCCCTTTGTCGAGGATGCCAGCTAGCAACGAACCTTGACTTGGGCCTCGGTGACATCCAGAGGCAAGTTGCTGAGGATGATCTTGCTACCTGTGTTGCCGCTTCGGCCAGGGATCACCACGGGGGGCTTGTTGCGGTTCGAGGCGGCGATGACAGCAGCGTTCTGAGCGCCGCTACCAAGAGCGGCAGCCTTGGCACCAGGGCGGGAGCTGCGACCGCCACGACCACGACGCTGGCTGTTGCGACCGGCACCACCGGTCTTCTTGGGGCGCTCGGCCATGATCTGGTCAAGGGCTGTGAGTCAAACAAAACGAGTCAAGAGGAGGAAAGCCGCATTTGGAATGCGATGTGCGAAGCGAGAGATGGCGACATGGGCCGACAAGGATCGATCGCGATGAGATTCCGAGCGTTCGTCCGTAGCACAGCGAGCGTCATCGCAGGGTCGTATGAAATCCAGGTGGTTGCGCACTTGTATCAGCCTTCGTTGCCCTGCTTTTCATCCTGGATCTCCAGCCTGCATGCTTCTCCTGTGGCGTGTGTCCGTTGACGAGCAACCTTGATCGGGCTCGCGGCGGTCGTGCCGGCGTATCCGCGGTGAATGACTGCCTGATGCGCAGTAGCGTACGGGGAGCGCCATGCGACGGCGAACCCGCGTTCGTCCATTGGCGGACGAGGAGCCGAAATAGATTCGCGGACCACAGCAGGATGAGCATGCATTGGCGGATCACAGCCTTACTTACGCTTGTCGATGTTCATAGACTGTTTGGAGAACAGCGAAAAAACATCAACAGCGAAGAAGTCGCGACAAGGACGCGAAGGTCATGATGGAGCGACAGCATCAGTCGCAGCCGACAAAGTCGAGACAGGGTCGATCGACCGGCGCAGAAGGATCAGGCGAATGTCGTGCGTGGCCAACAATCATGCGAAGAAGCAACCGGGCGATGACAGAGGACCCAACAGAGGACCAGAAAGCGGCGACATGGCAGTGACCGAGACGACCGCAAATTCGAGACAGGTGGCAGAGAATGGAAGGCGAAGTGGCAATGGTTGTCAGAATGCAATGTTGCGGAAGAGTCGATGGTGCCATCGGGTACGTCAAAAGATAGCGGTGCTGTCGCAGCTGCGAAGACATCAGCGGACGGCGCTTTCGAGGCGAGCTGGATTTGCAAGCATGGAGGGCGCTTGGACGTCCGCAGTGCTTGTAGCAAGGACGGTGATGCGCGTCGATCGATTGACGAAACCAGATGCACAAGGCTCGGGGACTCGTTGGATGCTGACCATGTTGATAAAGGGTGCGGGATTGCTTGACTGAGTGTAGGCGATGACGTAGAGGTGTGATGAAGAAGGGTCCGATGGGCTTGATGGATGCGAATGGATGCGAATGGATGCGAATGGAGGTTAAGGTTGTGAACAGTGCGGATGGCGACGAGTTGAAGGTGGAAGAGGGTCCACCAAGCAGCAGCAACTTGGGTCTTCTTCCGCCTTCTGGGGCTCAGCGCGTTCTTTCGCCAGCTCCGCGCGTTGCGGCCAGCTCAGTCGCAGACCAAAGTGGTGATCGCTTTTCTATCGGACGAGATAGAATTGAGACCTTCGGTGTCAAGCCACGACATAACATTCTCGAGAGATTTCTCGTTCAAGAAGATTGCGGATCGGCTGATCGTCATCAGCGCGCTAAGAAACATGTGCCTGAAACCAGACTGGCGGGATCAACACCTTTGACGAGCTCGGCAGCTTGGGAGGAAGGCAGCAGCGTCCGTGCCCCGAAGTTTTGGGAGGTGAGTTCAACCTCGGGTACTTAGTGGCACGACCGAGAGGATGCCGCCGATCGCACAGCCACGTACCTTTGAAATGACACGCGAGCGAAGACATCAATTCGCTCAACTGATGTCGGCCTCCATCGACGCACTTTTGCCATCCCTGGAGTCATCTGGCGTGAAAGCATGGCGAGCATAGCATCGAGCATGCTTCGTCTTGATCATACGATCAAAGTTCGGTCCAGCTGCGAGAAGGCCAGGCATCGATGGCAAGTGCGAATGCTCTCTGCTGTCGATGGGGTAAGAGCCCGCAGCAGCCATCGATTTGGGGTCCAAACCCTCCATCGACTTCGGGCACTTGTTATGAAGAGGGCTTGATTCATACAGGAGCGTGAGACGACAAAGCCTCGTCATCAACTGTCTGATGCAATCGTGCTGGTTTGTATCATGGTCCAAAGGATCCGAGAGCGAATATTGACACCCGTGATAGGCGACTCTCTCCTAGCACGATGCTGTCTACGATCAGGACTCCGCGCCTTGTCATATAGACTGATACGCACTTGGCTGCAGCCGAGAAAAGCCACGCTTTGGAGCAGGCCGCCGTCATGGGCGGAGATCGGACGTCAGAATTACAGGGCACAGTTCGATTCACCTCTCGGCAAGCGAGCTTGGTGCGGTGTTGCTCTCCATCGCTCGCTCTCGCCTTTCGTTTGCACCAAGCTGACTCTGGTTGTGCGTCACGAAAAATCAAACTAAAGTTTGCTTTGGTTGCTGATCCCTCTCGGCAACTTGAGATGGAAGATCAGAGAGTCGATCGGCCGGCGTCTAAGTGACAAGCCGTGTCGCTGTCGCGGCTAGCTCGTCCTCACTTCACCTCCGCCTCTTCTGTCCCCCGAACAAGCACAGCGCGCGCTTCTCTCTGCATGGAGGTGCAGTCGACTCAGACCCGCGTGGAGTCCTCTTTGAGACAAAGGGGATGGGATGGCCGGGCAATCAACTACGTTCGATGAAAGGGGACTCGAGGGGAAAAGACTAAAAATATACCCTTTTTTCCATTCACATGTGACAGACGATGAGAAAAGAGGCGAAAGCGACGCACAGCCGGGTCGAGTGACAGCTCAGAAGCTCTGCTGCTGCTGCTGCGCCCCCCGGAATGTGTGGTGCTCTGTGCATGAACGGGCAGGTGACGCCAGCGTCAGAAATTGTTGCCAAATCAATTTTGACCCAAATTGAAACTTTTCGGCTGCCTGGCTGCTGCCCCTTTTTCCCCCCTTTGCTTGGAATACGCGCTTTAAATTTCCTTGAAAAAGAGAGCTTAGTCTGCCATTTTCCACCAACTCGGACTGCCGACGCACAGCAACCCTCTGCTCGACGCGGTCCCCTTGTCCTTCATCATCATCATTCTCCTCCTCCTTGTCCGACTCTTCTCTTTGCTTCATCATCACATCCATTCCACTTGCTGCTTGTCTCGATCCGTGGTCGCTTCGAAGCACTTTCCTTCTGTTCGAAGATACTCAATCGCTTGCACACCGACCCGACGCTCAGCTAGAATCGACCCACAAGACCGTCATCCTCATCTCGAAACGAACGGCATTCATATCAGTCGCTTCGCACGGTCCTTCGCCTTTCGACTCGACCCACTCACATCGCCGTACACACAGACAGAGACACAGAAGAATTGATCCACCGTCGAAACACAGGCTCCTAAGGCTACCACTGTCCACGCTTTCAGGCCTCGTGACCACCGCTACATACTCAACGTTCGGCGAGCAGGTCTCCCCTTCGTTGCGACGCACCCCCGATCCCTGTCACTCTTCGTCGCGCCAGCGGATCGCAACCCAGAGCGTCGTTCGAGCCACCACGATCTTACAGCGAAGCGCGCCTGCGTGGCCTTCACGCTCGTCTGCCCGCCATGTCGCAAACAGCGACCTTCCCTAGCCTCGTAGCGAGGCAGAACAACGGCAATGGCGTCGTCCCTTCAGCGCTCATTGAGCAACTCAACGCCAACGGCGCTACCGACCTCAAAAAGGTGGGCATCACCATCGTCGCCTTTGTTGCGCTCGCCCTCGTCACTGTCATCGCTTTCCAGATCCTCCGTCCAAACAACAAGATTGTCTACGCTCCCAAATACAAGTACGCCGAAGAAGGCAAAGCGCCCCCCAAAGCGTCCGAAGGCTTCTTTGGCTGGCTTCCGCCCATCATCAAGTACAAAGAACACGATCTCTTGCCCCTCATCGGCCTTGATGGCGTCACCTTCCTCCGCTTCATCCGCATGATGCGATGGATGCTCACCACACTCGCCATCCTCATGTCGGTCGTCCTCATGCCCGTCGACATCGCTTACAACATGCGCAACGGAGGCAGTAACCTCGTCACCAACAAGCTCAACTACCTCAACATGTCCAACGTTCACGGCAACTACATGTGGGCTCACGTCGGCATGAGCTACGTCGGCACCATCGTTGCGCTCGCCTTCATCTGGTATCACTATCGAGAAATGGTCCGCTTGAGATGGGCCTACTTCCGATCCGAAGAGTACCAGACCAGCTTTCACGCCCGAACGCTCATGATCACCGACGTCACAAAGCGCTACCAAGCCGATAACGCTCTCGGCGCCGTCCTGTCCGAGCTCAAGATGCCCTACCCTACCACCGAGGTGCACATCGGTCGACGCGTCGGCATTCTGCCCGATCTCATCGAGAAGCACAACGACTTGGTGCGCGAGCTCGAACGGGTCCTGGCAAAGTACCTCAAGAATCCCAACCAGGTGCCTGCCAAACGACCCACCAAAACCATCGGCGGCTTCATGGGCTGTGGCGGCAAGAAAGTAGATGCGATCGACTACCTCACCAGCCAGATCAACCGCGTCGAGGCTGCCGTGATGCACCAGCGAGACACCATCCAGGACAAGCAGCCCGAGATGTACGGATTCGCCTCGCTCGCTGCTGTTCCATACGCGCACGCAGCCGCCAAGGTGCTTCAGGGCAAGAGGCCCGGCGGCATGCGCGTCACCCTCGCTCCCCCTCCCACCGGTATCATCTGGAAGAATCTCACCAGGTCACGCGCCAGCCGTGCCAAGTCGAGCTTCTTTGGCTTCCTCATGCTGCTCGTCCTCTTCTTCCTTAACATCTTCCCTTTGATTATTGTGTCGCTGCTCTCCAACATGGCGGGCCTCACCACCATTTCCTGGCTTGGTTGGCTCAAAGACTGGCAATCGTCCAGCTCGTTCACTTTCGCCGCCGTCTCGGGTCTCGGTGCTCCCATCATCATGGGCATCGCTTCCTTCTTCTTCCCCCTCGCCATGCGCAGGATCGCCAAGTACCGAGGGATCCAGACCCGCTACAGGCTCGACCGTCTGCTGGTCGGACAGTACTTTGGCTTTCTCGTCATCTCGCAGTTCCTCTTCTTCTCGCTCATCGGTGTCATTCTCTCGCTCGTCTCGCAGCTCGTCGTCGAGATCAACAAGGACAGCGCCCTCAACATTATCGAAAGGCTCGGACGAACGGCTGCGTACGCAGCAAAGCAACAGTACCTCAATCAGTCCAACTACTGGCTCACCTGGCTGCCACTCCGAGGGTACCTGGCCGTCTTTGATCTCGCACAAGTCATCAAGCTGATGCTCGTCTGGGTTCAAAAGGTCTTCTTCGGACGCACGCCGCGTGATGTGCGAGAGTACACTAAGCCTCCCGTGTTCGACTACTGGATGTACTACGCCAACTTTCTCTTCATGGCGGCTGTCGCCATGATCTATGCGCCTCTCGCCCCGCTCGTTATCGTCTTCTCCGCCGTCGTGTTCTGGGCCAACTCGTTCATCTACAAGTACCAGCTCATGTACGTCTTTGTCACCAAGCACGAGACCGGCGGCATGCTGTGGCGACCCGCCATCAACCGTCTGCTCGTCTGCATCGGCTTCATGCAGGTCATCCTCATCCTCGCCGTCGTGCTCGACACGCTCAACTACTATCAGGCCATCGCTGCCCTGCCGCCCATCCTCATGCTCGTGGGCTTCAAGATCTACTGCCGAACCACCTTTGACCGCCGCTTCGATTGGTACATCCCCAACGAGGCCGAGATTGCCGCCTCCAAAATTCACGGCGGTGATGCGCGTCACAACCGTCTGCAGCGTCGCTTCGGCCACCCAACGCTCCACTCGAAGCTGTTCACACCCATGGTGCACGCCAAGGTCAAGCATCTCTTGCCGCAAGTGTACAAGGGTCGCATCGATCAGGGTGTCGCCGTCGTGGATGGGCGCAAGGTCGAGACCGAGCAGGTGGCTGGTGGTCTCAAGATCGCTGCCATCGAAGAGGATCAGCTCGAGTACGATCCCCGCAAGGATTCGGACAATCGTTCGGTCATGTCAGGCACCACGCTTGGCGGCATGTCGATGGCTGGCATTGGCGCTACGAGTCCCGATGACCTCGCTGAAACGCGCGCCAACTACTTCAAGGACCAGTACGCCAACTACATGGCCGGAGGCAACACGCATGGCGGCGAGGAATTCGAGATGGCCAACGTCTCTGCTCGTGACAGCCGCGACAACCTCCTCGAGAAACGTCAGCACAGCTTGTACAACGAGTCCTTGGACGGCACACTGGCAGGCACCACCTACGGCGGCAAATCGTCCCCTGAAGGCGTGGGCGCACATGGGGCCTACAATAGCTACTCGGCGAACACAACCCCAGCGTTCGAGGGCGGTATGCCTCAGCAAGCACGCTATGTTGACCCTTACGCACAGATCGGCCAGTCGCAGCTGCCACGCATGGGAGCCAACCACAGCGCTCAGGGTAGCCAGACGAGTCTGGGCTCCTACGGCAACCTTTTGTACGGCAGCACCAATCCTGCAGTAGCGGCAGCGACGGCGGCGGCAGCTACACCCGCTAGAGGATATGGGCCGCCCGCATCACAAGCTCCTTCGTACGGCGGCAGCACCATGGGACGAACGCCGTCGCCAGGTCAGCCGCAGCAGATCTCGCCTGGCACTGTGATTGCGCCAATGGCCACGTCGACACCGCAGTACCACGCAGGCGGCGGCGGTGGTTACACTGCTTCGCCACCGAACTACCAGCAGCCGCAGCGATTCATGGGCGCACCACCCTCTCGCCAGGCATCGGCCGACTATCCTTACCACCCCAGCGGCGGGTACGGTCAGCAGCAGCAGTCACCTCAGCACGCACCGGTCTATGCACACCAACAGCAGGCGGCGTCGCAGCCGGGACAGCCATACGCTCATGGGCAGCAGTCGAGTGGAGGCAACTACTACCCTTCTCAGCATGGTTCGCACGGTGGCTCCGGATACCAACAAGGAGGCCCCCACGGCTACCAGCGCTAAGGACTTGAAAGTGTCGACACTGCAGCAAGCCCGTCTTCACGCATTCTTGCATCATGATAGCGAAGGCGACGTCTCATAGAACAATCGATCGTCTTTCCCTCCCCATTTGCATGTCATCTACCTCATCGTCTGCAATCTGTACTCTCGCCTCGAAAGATTCGCTTAGTGAGATTGCCATGTCGAGGCTGCAAAGGACAAATGGCCCGTTGCTCAACTCGCGTCTGGTCACGGAGAACCCGCCGTGAACCCAGGATGCATTTCAAAAAATGATGGCCGCAAAATCCAGCCCAATAATAACCCGGGTCCACCAGAGCAAAAAAAAACAATCCCCCAAGTAACCATTGGCAACAGCAAGGTTTGGGGTTTGGGTTGTAAGAGTGTGTTAGGGTGAGGAAATGCATGCCATTCCCACAAAAATGTGGTTAAGAACATGGTGAATTTGCGTCAGAAACCGGTTTGGCATCAAATTTTGAAGTTAGGTACAAATTAGATTTTGGG